TCCACCTGCCTCTGCCTCCTGAGTGCTGGGATTAAAGACATGCACCACCACGCCCAGCTAAAAAATGAATTTTTTAAAAAATAACAAATTCTAGTGAGGATGCAAAGGGAAGGAGGATTAAAAATAGAAGTCCCAGGGCTGAAGAGGTGGCTCAGCAGTTAAGAGCACTTGCTGCTCTCGCAGAAGACCCAGGTTCAGTTCCACACACCCACATGGCAGCTAACCACCATCTTTAAGTCCAGTTTCAGTGGATCTAATGCCCTCTTCTGGCCTTCATGGGCAATGCATGACATGAATGTATTTACATACATGTAAAGCACTCATACACATAAAAATCAAAAAAAAAATTTTTTTTTGGTCTTTTTGAGACAGGGTCTTCCTGTAGTCCCAGCTGTCCTGGAACTATGTAGACCAGGCTGGCCTTGAACTCACAGAGATCTGCCTGCCTCTGCCTCCCAAGTGCTGGGACTACAGGTGTGCACCACCACGCCCGGCAAGAACATTTTTAAAATAGAAACACCTTCAATATACGCCTGAAGGAATCACAAAAATGGTACAAGCAAGACACCTGCACATCTATGTTTATTGTGGTACTAGTCACAACAGCCAACTTACTGAATTAGCCTAGGTATCCAATATAGTATATACACAATGGAGGGGCATATTTCAGGCTTAAGTCAGGGTCTCATCATGTAGACCAGGCTGGTCTTGAATTCACAGAAATCTGCCTGCCTCTGCTACCCAAACCCCAAGTGCTGGGATCAGGCATGTGCCACCATACCTGGCCCACAATGGAATGCTAATTTGATCATAAAAACTAAAACCATGCCAAGCATGCCTTTAATCCTAGCACTCAGGAGGCACAAACAGGTAGATCTCTGAGTTCAAGGCCAGCCTGGCCTACACAGCAAGGTCTAGCCAGAGCAACATAGTGTGACCCTGTCTTTAGAAAAGGAGAAGAAGTTGGGGCCGGAGAGATGGCTCAGCAGTTAACAACACTGGCTGTTCTTCCAGAGGACCGGAGTTCAGTTCCCAGCACTCATGGCAGCCAACCATCTATCCATAACTCTAGACCCAGGGAATCCAATGCCCTCTTCCTGTCTTCATGGGTATCACTCACATCTGGTGCACTTACATACATGCAGGCAAAGCACTCATATGCACAAAATAAAAATAAATCTTCTTTTTTAAAAGTCATGTCCTATGGCCAATGAAGAAATGAGAAACTATTCAACATCTGCATCGTCAGGGAAATGCAAACCCAAACTGAGATTCCTTCCATCTCATCCCAGTGAGAATGATTATTACCAATGAAACAAACTCTTGGCTCTTTGGAACAGGAAAATGGATGGACCCATAGAGCCATATTCAGAAAAGACAAATACTGTGTTTTCTCTCCTAAGGAGCATTTGATGGGAGGACAAGAAAGTAGAAGGTAGACTATTAGCAAAGAGGAGGGAGCAGGAGATAGGGAGTGGACAGCACAGGTTTGACAGTGGGGTGAAATGATGAAGCACATTACATGGTGCAGCATAGTGAAATCCGTTTCCTGCAACCGACACCCATGAATGAAACTACGGACCCCCCCACACCTGAGTCTCCTCCCCTCGCTGTCCCTGTTCCCCACCCCACTGTTCTTTCTCGGAGCTAATGTCCAAATATCTGAGAATACGTACTTTTCAATGGTCTTACTGCTCCTGAGAGTTTGGTTAGGGATAGACTTGGAAGACTGTTTTCATACTGCCTTCCATTCTGCTGCCCTTGACAAAGTATACAGATTATCATGATTATTGCTTTTTTTTTTTTTTGGTCTTTTTGAAGCAGGGTCTCCCTATAGCCCCAGCTGACCTGGAACTCACTATATAGACCAGGCTGGCTTTGAACTCACAGAGATCCGCCTGCCTCTACCTCCCAAGTGCTGGGACTACAGGCATGTGCCACCATGCCCGGCAATTATTGCATTTTTTCTTTGAAAAGTATCTTGTTTTTAAATGCATTTATTATATAGGTATGACTTTATCATCATGGACTCTTGAGAGACAGGGATAAGTGAATATTCAAGGGAAAGAGTCTTATCTATTAACTCAGATGTACTGGAATAAGAATATTTGGGGCATTCATTTTTTAATGTTTGGAAAATCATGCTTTATAAATAATAAAGATGAAATAAAAGTGAATAAAAAAAAAAAAACAAAGAATAGCCCCATTATCGGGAACAAGACGACAAGACTGACAGTAAGGGCTTTCCCCTTTGGAAACTGCCCAAATTACAGAATCCGAACAGGAAATGAAATGGCTATTCTGGGGAAAAGCAGGTAAAAATTTACAAGCAAAGCAATAAAGTAACGGGAAAGACTGCTGAGGTTAAAGACGGGGCTCAGGGAAAATTGAGGCAGGAGAGAAACATTATCGGGAACAAGACGACAAGACTGACAGTAAGGGCTTTCCCCTTTGGAAACTGCCCAAATTACAGAATCCGAACAGGAAATGAAATGGCTATTCTGGGGAAAAGCAGGTAAAAATTTACAAGCAAAGCAATAAAGTAACGGGAAAGACTGCTGAGGTTAAAGACGGGGCTCAGGGAAAATTGAGGCAGGAGAGAAAAACCAGTCCTTACCTTGGGGACTTTTTATCAGTCTGCAGGCTCTGGGAGGAAAAGAGGGAGAACTTCAAAGACACCATGTTCACCTTTGTGGTTCACCTCTATGAGTCTTTTACACATGGTCCCACAGTTCAGCAGTGTTCAGTAGGATGTGCAGGAGATCGCAGCCTCTGAGCTCCCTGGAGAACCACCCTCGAGGCTCTGACACCCTCCCAGTGTGCATCTGAACCTTGGTGTTTCAAATCGCACCCCAGCAGCCAATTCTCACAGTGACAGCAACTTTGATGTGCCTAATACACATAATAGCTGTTTCTACAGACTGAATACTACGTAAACAAAACAGATTTGAACAGGCCCAAATGAGTTTGAAAACTCAAACTAGATTCAGGAACCGGCTGTAATTCACTCAGACAGGAGCCCCAAAATTCAGTAGAAATTCCATCCATTTTGTTTCCTATTACACATTTGGAGCTGTGTTCTTTGCAAATGTGTGCAGTAATGCACTAAATTTGATTGCCATCCTGAACACACAAAGTGAGGAGAAAGTTAACAAGGTTTTTTTTCCCCCTCATAAATACACTTTCCAAAGAGAACTGGGGGATTAATTAGAGGAGAAAAGTCTTGAGACTTGAAACCCATTAAGCCATTCCTTAAAAGGCTCAACAACTGTCAGGAGAGAGCAGGACATAGATATCTCTAGCCTCATAAACCCAGCATGCCAATGAGCCCCCTTCTGCCACCTGTCAGCCACTGCTACCTCCATTGGAAACACAGTGAAGGCCACCATTCAGGAAGTGCCTCAGCACAGCAGCCTGGCCACTGCTGGAAAAGGACTTACTGAGGCTCCTCACTGCTTCCTCTCACCTCCCCTTTCTGAGAAGACCACCAGACATAGCAAGCCACGACTCAGTCGGCACAGCAGAAATAACAGTGGTGGGTACAGTGGCCTACACCTTTAATCCCAGCACTTGGGAAGGAGAGGCAAGGGGAGCTCTGTGAGATGGCCAGCCTGGTCCAGTCTAAATAGTGAGTTCCAGGCCAATTGTGGTTATGGGAAGACCTGTCCTTAAAAAACAGTGTGTGCGCACATGCGCACACATGGGGGAGAGACTTGCAAAAATAAATGAAACAGTAAAATCTTTCTTTCAAAACAGTTCCCTGCCAGGTGTGCTGGCACTTGCTTATAAAATCAGCAATTAGGAGGCTTAGACAGAAGACCTTGAGAGTACCAGGTCAGCCTGGACTACAGAGCAAGACCACATCTTTAAAAAGGGGTGGGGGGGTGCCTGGAGAGATGGCTCAGCGATTAAGAGCACTGGCTGTTCTTGCAGAAGACCTTGGTTCAAATCCCAACATCCACACGGCAGTTAACAACCATCTGTAACTTCAGTTCTAGGGGATTTGATGCTGCCTTCTGTCATCTTTGGGCACTGTATGACAAGGGCACACTTACCCACATGCAGGGTAACACACATAACACACATAAAAGTAAATAAATAATCTTTTCGTTTGAGTTTTTGGTGGTTTTTTTTTTTTTTGGTCTTTCTGAGTCAGGGTCTCCCTGCAGCCCCAGCTGTCCTGGAACTATGTAGAGCAGGCTGACCTTTAACTCAGAGCTCCACCTGCCTGTGCCTCCCAAGTGCAGGGATTAAAGGTGTGCACTATCACACCTGGCTATAAAATAAAAATAAATTTTAAAAAAAAAGACCGATCTACAAAGGCTTCCCATGCTTTTCCCACGTAAACTCGAGAGATTTACACAGGGCACCCTGCCATCCTACCATGCTCAGGGAAAAGAGGGCTTACATCAGTTCAATTACAAATGTTACAAATGGTTTTACAGCAAGGCATGGTAGCGCACACTTGGAATCCCAGCACTCAGCGGGTTAGGAAGTCACGATCAGCCTCAGTTATATACCAGTTTGAGGCCAGCTTAGAATACATGAGACACTGTCTCTCTTAAAAAAAAAAAAAAAAAAACCACAGGGGCGGGGGATGGTTCAGTGATTTAAGAGCACTTGCTGCTCAATCATGAGAACCAGAGTTCAGATCTCAGCACCCACCACCAGTGGCTCACAAAGCCTGTAACTCCAGCACCAAGAGCTCCGACGCCCTCTTCTGGGCTTTACTGAGGACAGACAGACAGACACACATACACATAAATTAATTTTTTAAGTAAATAATGTTGGGCGTGATGGCACATGCCTTTAATCCCAACACTTGGGAGGTGGAAGCAGGCAAATCTCTGTGAGATTGGGGCCAGCCTGTTCTACATGGCAAGTTCCAGGCCAGCTGGGGCTATAGGAGAGAGACCCTGTCTCAAAAACACCAAAAATTAATTAATTAAATTATGCATATAAACGGCTTTACAAAAACATCAAGGTGAGGAGACACCAGATTCCACTGTTGGTCAGAAATTGTATTTATTAACCTTTCCCTCCCAATGTACAGATCATTTTTCAGGAACATGAAGTTTTTAACCCATCTTTAATAAACTGCAGTTTATAGAAAATAAACTTAACCTATTTCTATCACATTTTAAAACAATGCCCATTTATTTTTCCATGTTAGTTCATAGTTTAGAGTTTTAGTTTTTGGATCAATCAAGATCATCTTTGTTTACAGGTAACAATTTCCTGACTGAGCCCCTCCCCACAACCCCTAAAAAAATTCTACCTCCTAAGTGATAAACTCTTCTTGTACATCCAGCAAACTTTATATTGCAAAAAGAAAAAGAACAGCTGAGCAAAGTGTCTACTTGCGTGCACAGGGAAGTCTGAGCTGATGCAGCTTGCTGTGTGATGGTCAAGGAACAAACGTCATTCCTTACCAGTCACAATGATTATTTCTTGAACATGTTGACATGAAAGCTATACATAGTCCACTGAATGCCCTTCTAGTTCCTTAATCTGCAATTAGATCGTCACATAAGAACAAACTTCAGCCGGAGATGTCTCTCCTTTCCCTCGGCTACGTCACTCTGAAAGCTGGAACCCTCTCTCAGATCATGAAAAGACACACTAAAAGCACAGGAAAAAAAAAAAAAAAAAAAAAAGATTCATCTCATTAACATAATGCCCTTGTAAGTCTGCTGATATAATGCCCATATTTAACCTTAAAACATAAAATCAGAGTTAAAGCATCACTTAATTCATACAGTACATTATTAATTATTCAACAGTGTCCCACCGAAGTTCCCTAGCTGGTTGGTGTCATTTATTAACTTTGCAACCATGACTCAACCAAAAAATGTGATTGTATTATGCTGCTGGTTGAATTTTAGAATTAGAAGAATGCTCACATCTGGGCTATTTTCTAATGTAGGCATACTGCAAGTGGCATATGAACTACTGTTTTTGTTTCCCAATACCCACAGAAGAATTTATTCAAATAAAATTTTATGAGACAAAATGCTAATCTACACACCTATATTTGGATGTATACATGTAGATACTGAACTAACTAAAGTGTTACAAGCAATACTAACATAGTTCTGGCTACATACTCCTAGACTTAATTGCTTTGAAGATACATGTTATAAAGACACTTATACAAAAGGCAAAAATGAATCAACATGATCTTTGAGGTTTGCAGTATTACTTCAAAAGGCTGTTTCTATCCCCCATAGAAGAAAACTATACATCTGTTTATCCTAGGAAAAAATATATTAAAAAGATAATGCTATCATGTAAAGAATTCATAGCTGGGCATGGTGGTACACGCCTTTAATCCCAGCACTCGGGAGGCAGAGGCAGAGGCAGGAGGATCTCTGTGAGTTCAAGGCCAGCCTGGTCTACATAGTGAGTTCCAGGACAGCTGGGGCTACATGGAGACCCTGTCTCAAAAAAACCAAAAAAAAAAAAAAAGAAAGAAAAAAATTCACATAATCTGCATATCCCATAAAAGCCATACCCACAAAGGTAAGTGCAGTTATGGTTCCTCCTGTGTTTATGGACACCATCATCACCTTTCCTCTTTTATAGTGAGAGTTTATCTTTTTCAGACTTACTTAACTGCACCACAGAAATTCAGATACTGAAGTAACACCTTAATAATAAGCAAGATTACAAAATAAGGCATTCTGCTTACATGTCACGAAAGTAACAAGCTTAGAATAGTAAAGCAGGTTCCTAATACGTGTACAATTTCATATAATCCAAACATTATACATTTTACTTAAATCCAATTAACTGCTATTTTCAAGGGAAAGGAGGAGTGCTCATGGAATCACCAACTTCGGCCATTTCTCCCGCTGCCATACACAGAGGCTGGTCATATCTTAGACTAGGGCATGAGTGTGTGACCATTCCATTTCTAAGCCTGTAGGTCACACACACCAAAAGATTTTCCAAATAGTAGATTAAATCTATTTGACAAAAATCCCTGTAATGTTGTTTAGGGAAAGAAAGAAAAGTGGACTCCGCACACTCGTGCCAACAGTTAAAGCAGTTCCCCTAAACATGAATTCATTCTCCAGAGGAATCCAGACCCTTAATCATTGAGCTGCAGCACATGTGGGGCAGCACCACCTTTCCAGGCACAAGATAGGAATCTGAACCAGAATGAGCAGTACCTTGACCAAAGACGTACTCTCAAGATGCACATTGTTTTGAAGTTTGGACTTGACTGCCCATCACACTTTTACATTAAGTGTTGCTTCAACAAAAATAGAACGTGATTTTAAATGTTACTGTCTAAACATTGTAAAGCAATGGCTATGCAGCAGCAGCAGCAGGTAAAATGCACCTAATTTGGGTCCTTTGACACCTCTTGTTTTAAGTTTATTATATGATAAAGTTCTTCACAGTTTAAAATATTGTGAAGCAAGATTTTATGTATAATTATATTCACATACACACTATGTACACATACTATGTACTTGAGGTGTCTATAAACCTGGAATAAGTGTTTACAGTAGGGTGCCCCACACTCATGCAGGAACCCTGAACAGACTGGCGTGGACTGTGAAATGGTTTCCCAGAAATGCTCAGAAATAAGACAAGATTATTATGAGTAAATATAATAAAAACCTCACCTTATTTACATAGTGCCTATCTTCCAAGAGGTAAATACGCTTTATGGATAGTTTAGTATCTCTGAGGGTTGAGGGGACAGTGGAGACACCATCAATTCTCTTTTCCCACAACCCAGTGACTGCCAGGATCACCCACTTTGACAGTGGCAGAGCCAGATGCAAGCACGGAGAATTTCCAGCTCCCAGTCTCACTCACATCATCTGGCAGACTTGTGGTACAGCAAAATTTCCACCACTCAACAGAACTCCTCCCTCAAAGGGTTAATTTCTAAGGTCTCCTGGATCTCTGACTGTACGTCAGAGGTCCCTACCACAGAGAGATCAAAATGGGTGTTTTTTTTTGGTTTTTTTTTTTTGGTTTTGGCAGATGAAAAAGTCTAACATTCAGTGTGTATTAGAACTCAGTGTAACTTCTCCAGTCTAAGTGCGACACAGCTGGTTGGTCTACTGGGGAGACAGGGCCAATGTCCAACATGGTGATGAGGTCTCAATCCAAACAGCTACTGATGATTGACTACTGAGACAGCCTAGGATCTGGCATTCTCTTAAGGGTCTTTTCTATCTCCACATAAGAGTATACACATATAAATAAGCATCAAAGCGTAAAATGTACAGTTAGTATCAGTTCATGTTCCAATAAAGAAAGGCCTTAAGGGTGAACTTTAAAGGCCAAGAGCTCCTCAGAGTGCATATTGTTTAAAGATCGAAGATCTGGCAACTTTAGAAGTAGTTTTGTAAAAATAGAGGCCTCGTTTGGATGGTTTTTCATTATTAAGGTCCTTAGTGCACGAATGAGTGTTTCTTGCAATGCCTCCACGGAGTTGACATTTTCAATTCCAGATCGATCTAATGGGAAGAATGAAGAAGAATGAGAGGGCATAAAGCATCTTGCTCACTGACCACTACCTTAAAGCAGGGTTGCAGGTGAAGGTGGCCAGGCGGGTCTTCCCACTGCTGCTGTGGGGCCTTGGCGGGCACGACCCCAGCCTTAAGTGGCAGGGGAAACCCATGGCAATGTGCAGTCATGGGTAGGGAGCAGGGGGTGTGGCAACAAGATCACAAGGGGCTAGCCAGCTTCTCTGGAGTGGGTGGAGCAGGCCACTCACAGGGAGATTTGGCCTGCATCGGGCTAACTGGTATGAGTTCCCTGTCTGCTTATTTAAATGTAGATCCACAATATCTTGTTCAGGATATGATGAGTTTATTTTGCCAACTGGAGCTAATAAAACCCGAGGCAGATTTGAACTGGCCTTCTTTGCCACTGGAGATGCTGTATGACAGGGGCTGCATTTGGGGCTATGAATGGTCTTTGGCTAGGGCTGCAGGAAACCCAGAACTAGGCCTGGTCCAAGCCAAGAAATGTACAGATTTTGAATACAGATTATGCAGGGGGCACTTTCAGCTAATACTCTAGATTCTCTGGCCTGGCTCTATAGTGCATTTCGTGTCATCATCAAGAAAACACAGGTAAAGATGACCTCAACACGGTCACAGCCAGAACCACGGTGGACATGCTGTATACATGTTCGGGTGATTCTCGAGGAGTGGCACAAGGTGGTCTGGTAGACTAACAGCCTCTCGGCTCTGTGTGACAACTGGGAGCACAGAAGTCTCCTTGTTCCAATGGTCACTCTGAAGACTTTGCCACCTCAAGAACCGGGGCCATTTCATAGTCATCCAGGATCAGTTACTAAGTCAAGTCTGGAGTTGCTGTCTCTCTTGCACCTACAATTACTTTGAACAACTGGAGATTCTGATTTGCTATGATGAAGATCACCGATGGTTGGTCAGAGCCACACTGCCTGCCCTGAGTGAGCTGAAACCAAACCCTCGGTAGCTCACTGAGTCATGTGCTCCTTGCCTTTGGAGATGATCTCGCATCTGCTCTCTTCTACCCTAAGAACTGGAAGTCGTTTATTCTCAGAATTCAGTACTTTATCAGCTGTATACTCACTTAACAAAATCTGAGCTGGGCGTGGTGGCGCACCCCTTTGATCCCAGCACTCAGGAGGCAGAGGGAGGTGGATCTCTGTGAGTTCAAGGCCAGCCTGGTCTACAGAGTGAGTTCCAGGGCAGCTGGGGCTACAGGGAGACCCTGTCTCAAAAAGACCAAAAAAAAAAAAAAAAAAAGTCTGAAACCTAACTGCCCTGTATTCCAAATACGGGATGAAAATATGAAAAACCAAACAAAACCAAACAGGGTTTTACACATGGAGTAAATCCAAGTTTAAAAGTATAAAAATCTCAACGGGAAGTTTTGTAGCTACTAATACCACATATACCTCACAGGTGATAAATCAGAATTCTGCAGTGGGTTGGAATTTTGTTCACAGAAGTTTAGAGGTTTCAACTTTGTTAACTTGATGCAAACATCAACTGTTTCTAACTGGCAAAATAAAGTCATGAAGCACAGAAACGTTTTCAGCAGAGACCACATTCCCATTTGCTGTTATGCTGTCATGCACTGCATACCCTGTATACTCATCCTCTTGAGGGCTAGACTTACTGACTCACATCTAATGAATAAAATGGGGCCACTAAGAGAAGCAACCTGCACCTTAACAGCTACTGAATGAGATGCCTTGGTGAGAAGTTGCTGCAGCATCCATGCATGGTGCCAGGGAAACAGGGAACATCACTGAGACTCATGAACAGGGTCAGGATCCAGAATCCATCACTCACTCAAGTATCAACTACACACCAGGTTCACCTGGGGTGACCCCTTCCTTTAATCTGAGGCACAGAAGGATGTAACTATGATCGCTAGTCTAAGGTGAGCCCAGACTCACAGTCAGCTTGCTCACCTGCCGACACCAGAACGACTGCTGTGAACAAGCTCATCTCCTCGTCACTGAGCTGGAGGGCATTCAGTTTCTCGCTGAACTCAAACATGGAGCTGAGCAGGTCCCCCGCTCCCATTGAGTGCAGGTCATCCACACTGTACTTCTTCCCACTCAGAAAAGTGACAGTCCGCTCCTTTGCATCAAATAATGAGGCAAACCGTACCATTAGAACCTGGAAGACAGGAAGACTCAGATGCATTTGGCAAAGTTTAGTGGGAACACTAAGATGCAACTCTATTCAGGTCAGTTAAGAAGCTGGGCATGGTGGCACACGCCTTTAATCCCAGCACTCAGGAGGCAGAGGCAAGGCAGATCCTCTGTGAGTTCGAGGCCAGCCTGGTCTACAGAGTGAATTCCAGGCAGCTGGAGCTACAGGGAGACCCTGTCTCAAAAAGACAAAAAAAAAAAAAAAAAAAAAAAAGCATCCTCCACATGAAAGAAATTGTAAAAGAAAACCTGAGTCCATTTTAATCTAGAACTACTTTCTTAAGGCAGATTGTCCGTAAACGCAATTAATATTTCAACACCAAAACAAAGTCCAGTCAGCAGTGATAATATATAAACACTCTGAAATTCTATTAGCAAAGGTTAGGACATGCAAATACAAAATTAAAATGATCAAAGATGTACAAAAGTTTAAAAACAGAGCCTGGCGATGGCAGCAAAGGAATGCTGTAGGCTCCCAAGCACATCTTGGGCATCTGTGCCCTGAGGGAAGTCAGAGTCCAACAGAGCAATACTGGGAACCCTCCAAACACCAAGTGCAGTCAAGGGAAACACAGCAGCCAAGCCCTACCCAGAGACTACACCTAAAGACTGCCATCAGAGCAGGACGCTGCTATGCAAGCCAAGTCAATGACTGGACTTTGAGCACAATCCCTCCCTCCATGCGTCTCCTCTCCTCTGCAGTGCTCCCAAGGAAAGATGGGTGCCTGAGGATGAAAACGGAGGTCAACCTCCTGCGACAACAGGGCTGACCTCAGAGCACAGCAAGGTCTTCATAGACCATAAGGTGGAAAGAGATAAATCTGGAGTTCAGGACTTGTGTAGGAATCCCAGGTGTGTTATGAACGTATTGGTCACACAACTCTCTTCAGTTCTCTGGGCAGGAATTACTGCTCCCAAAGCAAGTGAACTGAACAAGACCACTGATTCCCTTCTGACTTGAAACGTTAAGTCTCAAGTAGTCCTTTGAACTGAAAGGCCCAGCCTGTGTGACTATCTGACTATTCTATAGCTGCTTTGTTATCAACAGGGTGCTTCTCTGCTCTGGCCTAGGACTCCAAGGAACAGGCAGAGGCAGAAGCTTCAGGAGCAGATGTAAAACAGGGGGAAGGGAAGGGAAGGAAACCTGGAAGGAGAGTGCAGAGGGGGTCGCTCAGCACCGGGGTGTACACAAGCCAGCTTCATCAGGAGCAACGGGCCTGTTTTACTTTGTATGATGCACTGGGAGTCAAAGTGCAGGCCATGGTCCCTTCTCTCAGTGCTCAGGGTTCAAGCATCTGGCCCACCAGATGTCTACTTCTCACCAACACCCCAAATTTCAGAGCTACACATAAATGACCTCCTAAGGTTCTAAATGCCTGAGCAGCAACAGAGAAACAGAGGCAGACAGGAAGTAACAGCACCGAGTAACCACAAGGAAGCCACTATAGCTGGCCTGCCCACCCACACAACAGGGTAGCCGGAGGGGCCCAAGTCCAAGCAGGAAGCATCTGCAAGAGAAACTAGAGTAGAAAAGCATCAGGAAGGGCTGTGGCGGAGCACACCTGTGACCCCATCAACTTGGAGGCAGAGATGGGAGATCAGGAGTCTGGGCTACACAATACCCTGCCTCAAAAACAAAGAGCAAGGAAAAAGAACAAGCCACCAAGGACCCCGAAACAAAGGGCAGTGATCTGAGGTGGCACACAGAAGTCCTGTGAAGTCCCCCAATATTCTACCACCTCCTGAAAACAAAGCCACATTCCATTCTCCTTTTGTATTTTGTACTGAACACAGTAAACACCAGTGTAAGCGTCAAACACTATGCAAAACCCACCCCATCTACGGGGAAGCCACAGCAGAAGCCGAGCTCACATGTGGGTGCACAAAGCCCGTGCATCTAGTCCTGAGCCAATCTCATTCTTGGTTGTAGTTTCAGACTCTGAACGATAGATGCTCAGTTAGAAAGGAAGAAAATGAGACCCTCTTAACATGCAGCAATGCCCAGGGTCAAGAAAGCCTACCTCAAAAGTGCCAGCCTTTAAAAGGTTGACCTGGTCGTGCTGAGAGAGATCTCGGAACCCAGGAATGCGCTTGGCAAATTCTACCACTTCTTTAACCGCTGGTGTGAAGCTCATTGAAAATTCTTCCCAGATTTCATGTCCAGACTTCTGAGGATCCACAAAGGGAGACTTGCTCATGGGACACACCTAATTTACAGGAAATAGACAAACTCTTAAATCGTGAGGGTGGCAAAGAAATCAAAAGTGGCGTCTCCATCACGAGAACCGTAACGAGAAAGAAACTGCAAATACAGGCCCAGTCCTGTCCTAGCCCTTCCTCTGGGTGTAGCCCACCTCAACACAGGAAGCCTCCCAGCAATAAATACAACCACATATTGTCAGTGTGCACAGAAAATGTGTGAGTCCTAGCCAATGACAGGAAAGTACTTTAAATGTAGGGTTTAACAGTTCCCTAAGTGCTGGAGAGATGGCTCAGCAGTTGAGAGTTCGTACTGTTCTTGCACAGGACCCAACTTCAGTTCCGAGCATCCATCTTGGGTAGCTCACAGCTGCCAGTAACTCCAGCACCTGGGGGACCTCTCCAGTTCCAGGGATGCCTCGAGCCTCCAAAGACATCTGCACTCACAAGCAGATGCACATACACACAATCAGAAATACGGGGCTGAAGAGTTGGCTCAGTGGTTTAAGAGCGCTGGCTACCCTTAAGGAACCAGATTCAGTTCCCAGCACCCACATGGTGGCTAACAACCATCTGTTAACTCCAGTTCCAGGGGATCCAACACCCTCTTCTGACCTCCATGGCACTGCACGACACGGGTGCACTCACATACATGCAGGCAATACACTCATATAAAAATAACTATTTTTAAAAATAATTAAAATAAAAACCACATATCCTTTATATTTAGAAAGTCCTGTGGCAATCCAATTTAAACAGCTACGGCTGTCCTAAGAGGCAGCCTAGGGAACACGCTATAGAAAGCACGCATTTAAAAAGCCTCTTGCATAAACTTGTCTACTCGGAAGCGCTGCTGCCACTTCGTGTGATAAACAAGGCTGTAAGTTTTCACAATCCACGTTTCTATTTCTCAGCCCCAATTCTCACCCTGATTAGTGATGGCTGATTAAAATCATGTTTTTTCTTCTCTTTTTTTAGATGAGGAAATAAAGATTCTGAAAGGCTTAGTGACTTAGTCACACACAAATGAGGTTGCAAGCCTCGGACCCACACCTGCATTTACTTCCTATTTCAGAACTAATGTGCTCTTCACTGAACCACTACACTGCAAGTTCTTAGAGGAAGGTGGTAATAAGATCCTCACTTTTTTTTTTTTTTTTTTTTTTTTTTTTTGAGTGTGGTAATAAGATCTTTCTTTTTTTTTTTTTTTTTTTTTTTTTTTTTGAGACAGGGTCTCCCCTGCAGCCCCAGCTGTCTTAGAACTCACCATGTATACCAGGCTGGCCTTGAACTCACAGAGATCTACCTGCCTCTGCCTCCCAAGTGCTGGGATTAAAGGCGTGAGCCACCATGGCCAGATCCTCACTTTTTTAAGAGGTCACTTGTCCTTTATTTTATTAACAATGTGACCACGGACCTCCACCTGCTCAAACAGGAAACTGACTGTGGACACCACGTACACCTTCTAAACACGGACTGACGGAATCCAAAGAACACAGAAAGATATGAAACATGCTCCCTACACTCTACTAGTAAAACTACTCTTTAAATTCTTGTTAAGCCACAAGCATCTGAGAATGGGTGAGTCTTCAGCTGTGGAGACTGCCAAGAAACCAGAACCCAAGCACTTAAGTGACACAGGGAAACCACCTGCCCTAACCAAGCATAAGATCCCTTCAGATCCACCAAGTTACTCACAAGAGGCAAAACCAAATGAACATGAAAACTGAGGTAAAGTCAACTACTTTGAAAACGAAAAGACTTAATTACCTGGCAGCAGAAAACTCGACAAGCACTACCAAAGGACCTCATGGGTTAACTGGCAATGGCACAGTACTGCTGTTTTGATGGAAGTCTGGCTGAACACAAACACTGTATTTTCATGTAGAATGTTGTATTTGATGAAAAGAAAACTTGAATGATATGAATAATACTAACTTATCTCACAAGATAAAGTCTTAGAAATTAGGCTATTAAATTATTCCTAAATTCTAAACCATAAAACATCTACATTCTATCTCCAAAGACTTTTCTGCATCATAGTAGTTAGTAAAACCTCTCTGCTGGGTATGGTGATGCACCTTCGAGTCCCAGGCACCCACAAAGATCACCTGAACCCAGGAGCTCAAAGCTAGCCTGGGCAACACAGCAAGACCCATCCCCACAAAGAACAGTAAAAGTTCTCTCAACAGATCTTAAAGAAGCTAAAAGATCAACCCTTTTGAGAAAAATCCCAATAGTAACCCACCCTAACGCTTAAGCTTCCAAAGAGATTTCCAAGAATTAAGCGGTCAATTCTATATGAATCACAGTTTATACAAATCTTAATTCCATTAGGAATTAGGACACTCAACAAACATTGCTCATTAAAATTATTTGACTGAAGGCACTACACAAAGTTGCTTCAGGAAATCTCTTGGGCTCTCTGACCCATTTTCCAAGTCAGCATATCCCCCAAAAGAAAACCTTCAAAGCTTTCCTTGACACAAGGCGAGCAAAAATTGGTTTCACTATACCAGATGCAGCCGCCCTCCGGTGTTGCACAGGTAACGATTCATGTTCTCATTCTGAGAACATCCATCTATCGGAACTCTATCACACACTCTTTGAGTATAAGCATTGGAGAAGTTCATACTGTGTCCACTGGCCATACAAAGGGCATGCCCGTTGGGATAATGCACTATGTTCCTCCCTTTGTACTGTCCGCTGAGATGCTGCTGGCTCTCACTACAGGGAAAGTGGCTGTGAAGCCCACTACCACAGTGGTCATGATTTAAATTATACTGCTCCATATTCTTGGGAATCCGCTCTCCTCTCTGGGGCTGTGTGATCTCAGCTGAGTTTTCCCTCTGCTCCTGATTATACAGAAAGGTATCCTTGTGGGCTCTGGTCACCATGCCAATCACTTCTTCCTTTGCAAAATCCAAAGATGGAGGAGGACTTCTGATACTTTCTTGCTCCAGCTGGGGCTTGGGTCGCAGCTGTTCCTGGGCTGGTAAGGCCGTCTGCTCCTGGTCAGCTAAGGGGTCGTTCTGCAGATGGCCACTGAACTGGCTGTTCATCATGGTCTTCATTGCACTCTGCATTTCAATTAGCATCCTCTGTTTTTCTCGCTTAGGAATCCGACCGAACCGAACAGCTATTGAAGAAAAACACAGTTAGCAGCTATGTTCTAAACAAGCCCTGCTTGCTTCAACGAGTGGCACAGACTCACCTCAAGAGCTCTGGCCTCTGGCCATACAAGTAAAGAATATGTAAAGGGCTCTGGCCTCAATTTTTCTAAACTTGATCCTGATGCACTAAAGAAGTGGGAAAGGAGAGAAATTTTCCTTTTTTTCCTCCCAAAACAAGGCTAGGATAAGATGTATTTCCTGGGTATTTTATAAGCAAAGTCTAAGAAAGAAACATGAAACTAACTGAGACCCACAGTGTGAAGCAGACCAGCACCTTATTAACAGCTGAGGGATCTGCTCTTAAAAAGGCATGTGGGATCCAGCTCAGGACACCCACTTAGGACAGCAGCACTCCTAAGTGGCGTGGCCCATGCTCCCTGAATACCAGACCCTTGTTTTTCACAGCCTTCCTCTCAAGACCCCATTAAATGATCTGCTCTCGAGTTTCCTACAAGAGAAAATAACATCTCCTTCAAACACACACATATATAATCAAAAGAAATGTACTGACTGGAATAAGCTTGCTGGATTTCAATTAAAATCATCAAGTAAAAATGAGATCAGCTGTCCTCCACTCTCTTAAGAGCCTGCCTTAGAGGGCTTCCTGCCTCTAATAATCCCATCCCTGAGGGAAAGAAGCTGCTTTTCAGTCTAAAACTTGAACAGATACTAAAAACTAAATCTACCTACGCACAAGAAAACCCAGCGCTCCTCCTGCAGCCACCGATGAGACCATTACTAAAGACAGACAACCTCACCAGTTTCACACCTCACTTCTGCTCCTTCCTTCACAAGTGACTACACGTTTTGTTCTCTGGAACCACCACACCCATCCACTGGTCTTACAGCACTAGTCTGAGTAGTGACAGAGATAACAAATTTCCAGCAATTGAAAGACAAACATTAATTGCTGAAATCTCTTTCTAGAAATTTCCAATGGCAATATTCTATTTTTTCTTAATAGAGGGATAACGGACCAACTGAAGAGACTGTTTAAATGATCCTTCCCTACATAAACAAAACTTCTTGCTTAGTAAATTTTTGCCCCCCATAGGTAAATGTATTTATTACTTTGTATCAAATGGAAAATACACATTAAAATTTTTAGTGGAGGCTCGCAGACTGTGTGCACTAGGACTACAAACATTATATAAGTTTATGCATCTCTACACACAGGAAAAGATAAAGGAAAACACCATAATGCCAGCCAGTTATTAAGCAGTAAGTTCACAAAAATATACTAAAGCTTATCCACTGGCTGCCATTTACGGCTTTTAAAGATTAAAATACCAAGCTTATAATGAAATTTAAATAGATTATAGCTGTTGGCACATGTTTATTATGGAATCAAATTGGGGCTTTAATTTTGTTTTCCTGAACAGAAAGGGGGGGGGAATGAAAGGAAAGAAAATTGGGGGAGACTTAAGGAAACATAATTGTGAAGATAAAAAAAAAAATCTACTACAGGGACTAGTGAGAGGACTCAGTGGTTAAGTGCACTGCACTGGCTGCTCTTGCAAGGGCCCAGAGTTTGGTTCCCAGCACCCACACGGTGGCTAAGAACTATCTTTTAGTTCTGCAACGCCAGTTCCAGGGGATCCAATGCCCTTTTCTGGCTTCTGCAGGCACTAGGCACACACAAAATGCACATATGTACACCCAGGCAAAACACTCCTCCACATAAAATAAAAATAAATCTTTTATTAAAAAAAAGTTGAAATTTCTACTACAAGGAACTGTCTGGCCCTGGGGAGACACGAAGAGCTGCTGAAAAGCAGCTCTGAGACGCCTTCACCTGGAGTGCCTTCTTCTCCCAGTGTGACAAAAACAGCCTTGAATAAATTTTTCAATTGGGCCAGAACATCTTCAGGGTCTTCTCTGACTGCGAGCAGTCATGTTCCGCACATCACGACGTACACAGAAGCTAACCACGGCATCATTCTTTTTTCAGTGGACAACAAGATCTTAAAATTTCAATCCACAGACTTGTGTTTCTTGGGAGTTTGGGTTGAGCTGCTCTGGGGCATGCAGTGATACTAGAACACTGCGTGGATCTGGGAAGATTTCCTTACTCTCTAGCAGGTTCATTTTACCTAAGCCAAAGGGTTGAGTACACAAACCTGCTTGGCAATTTCTAACTGGACCATACAGACCAGCCCCTCTGCGAACCCTGCTTCTGTCATAATACAGTACAGGAGATGACTCCCTACATGCAACCAAAAGCCCACTCTCCCACTGAGGTCTTCCATGTTTCCACTAATTTCCACCCTCATTGTCCAACGAAATGAGCATTCCAGAAGTAAGCAGCCTTCACCCCAGACTGCAACACTTCAATTCTGCATCTCCCTCTCACATGTCCTCATCTACACCCTGAATTACATCATCAACTCAAACCAAAAAATGAGAGTTGTATGGTGGTGCACAGCTTTACATCTCAATGCTTAGGTGGTGGAGGCAGGTGGATCTAAAGATCCACAATAGCCTGGTCGGAGTACCAGCCAAGGCTATTTATTAAGACTGTGTTTTAGGGGCTAGAGAGATGGCTCAGCAGTTAAGAACAATGGTTGTTCTTGCAGAAGACCCGGGTTCAAATCCCAGCACCCACATGGCAGCTAACAACTGTCTGTAACTTCAGTTTCAGGGGATCCCACAAGTCTCTTCTGTTCTCTGCGGGCATTGCACAACACAGGTGCACTTACCTACATGCAAGCATAACACTCATACACATAAAAGAAAAAAAAAATTTTTTTAAAAGACTTTTAAAAAACTCTGGGCTGGGGGCTGGAGAGATGACTCGGCAGTTAAGAGCACTGACTGTTCTTGCAGAGGACCCAGGTTCCATTCCCAGCACCCACATGGCAGCTACGACCCATCCTTAACTCCAGTTCCAGGGGAATCCAAAACCCTCTTCTGACCTCCACAGTACTGCACAGCAAGGGTGCCCTCAAATACATGCAGGCAACTCACTCATACACATAAAATAAAAATATTTTTAAATAATAATAAAAAAATATTAAAAATAAGAGGGCTGGAGAGATGGCTCAGCAGTTAAGAGCACTGGCTGCTCTTGCAGAGGACCCAGGTTGGATTCCCAGCACCCACATGGCAGCTAACAACCATCCTTAACTCCAGTTCCAGGGGATCCAATGCCCTCTTCTAACCTCCATGGGCACTGCACAACACCGGTACACTTACGTACACGCAGGCATTAACACTCACACACGTAAAAAAATTAAAATCAATCAAAAAAATTAAAAAAGAAGAAGAAAAGCAGTGGGCTTTACCCAGACAGAATTACAGCCACCTGATTTTTCACAAAAATACCAAAAACACATATTGGAGATAAGAGAGCCTCTTCAACAAACAGCGCTGGAAAAACTGGACAGCCACATGTAGAAGAATCAAGCTAGATCCTTATGTTTCACAGTACCCAAAAATAGATTAAAAACCTCAATGTAAGAACTGAGCTCTAAAACTGTTAGGGAGGAGGAAAAAAAACAAACAACAACAACAGGAATACTTCAAGACAGACACACAAGGCAAGGACTTTCTGAATGGGACCCTAGTCACTCAGGAAACAATGCCAACAGTTGACAAATGAGACCTCATGGAATTAAAAGGCAAAAGAAACAGGTAATTGAGCCTACAGAATGGAAGAAATTCTGACAGAGCACTAATGTATTTAAAATATATTTTAATTTTAAATTTATGAAATATATTAATGTACAATGCTGAGATGGTTCAGGAGTTAAGAGCACCTGCTGCTCCTCCAAAGGACCCAAGTTCAGTTCCCAGCACCCTGAGCAGTTCACAATTGACTGTAAGTCCAGCTCGAGGAGACCTGATGCCCTCTTCTGGCCTCTATGGGCACCTGCATGCATGCCTACCTATACACACAGAGACACACACACATACACACAAATTAAAATAAAATCTTACAGAAAATACAAAGAACTCAAAAAATTAAGCAAGAAATCAAATAAATAGGCTATATAATGACCAGTTTGCAAAAGAGAAATACGACTGGCTAGTAAACATGAAAAAAATATTCTTCACTTGCCAGAGAGATGAGTATCAGCACTACACTGAGTCAATCTCACTCCAATCTGAATGGCAGGAATATGGACAGAATGGGTCCTTACACCCTGCTGGAGGAAGTGTAATCTAGCTGCCATGGAAATCAATATGGAAGCTCCATAAAAAAACTAAAACTAGACCTACATATGACCCAGATATACTATTCCTAGCTGGGTACTGACCCAAAAAGACTCTAAATCAGCATCTCACAGAGACAGCTGCACATGAATGCCTCCTGCAGCACAGTTCACAGCAGCTAAGTTACGGAACCAACCTAGGTGTCCACCAACCAAGGAACAGAAAATGAAAAAATGTGGTATATACATAGTAGAGTTTTTTTCAGCCATAAAAATGTTGTTACAGGGCTAGAGAGATGGCTCAGTGGTTAAGAGCAATGACTGCTCTTGCAGAGGACCCGAGTTCAATTCCCAGTACCCACATGGTAGCTAAGAACTGTCCTTAACTCCACTTACAGGGGAATCTGATGCTCTCTTCTAACCACCACAGCACTGCACGACATGAGTGCACTCACATACACGCAGGCAATACACATAAAATAAAAATAAAGGACTGGAGAGATGGCTCAGGGGTTAAGAACAGCGACTGTTTTGCAGAAAGACCCTGGTTCATATCCCAGCACCCACATAACAGCTAACGATTGTTAATAACTCCAGTCCCAGGGGATCTGACAGCCTCTTCTGATCTCCTTGGGCACGACATGGGTGCACTTACCTACATGCAGGCAATACACGCATACACATAAAATAAAAATAATACATAAATTTTTAAAAAAAAACCGTGTTACAGCCGGGTGTGGTGGTGCATGCCTTTAGTCCCAGCACTTGGGAGGCAGAGGCAAGTAGATCTCTGTGAGTTCAAGGCCAGCCTGCTCTACATATTTTGTTCAGGTCAGCTGGGACTACAGGGAGATCCTGTCTCAAAAAGACAAAACAAAAATATAAAATAAATAAATAAAAAATGATGTTACATTGTTTACAAGAAAATAGATGCAACAAATCAAGCCATTCTCAGTAAGACAAACATTGGACCAGGCATGGTGGCGCATGCCTGTGATCCCAGCATTCAAGACATGTAGGCCCCTTGGAGATCAGGAGTTCAAGGTCATCTTCAGCTTATGTTCAAGAGGGAGGGAAGGAGGGAGGGAAAGAAGGTACTGGGTGTCTTCTCTCACCTGCAGTTCCTAGATTTTATAGACACGTAAGAGCATGTGGACACATACAACATGAAGGTTGAATCAAGACTGTCTAGGGGAACAAAGGGACTAACAAGCAGGGAGAAAAGGAAATATATAATGTACACACCTGGCTCAAAAGTGCTCTAATATTAAGTACCCATGTACAAAGAATGCACACAATGAAAAAAGATCTAAGGCAAAGGAAAAAACAACATGCATATAAAAAACATTTTTAATGGATTTTTATTTTATGTGTATCAGTGTTTTACCTGCATGTTGTGCATCCATACATGCAGGGACTGCAGAGGTCAGAAGAGGCATCGGATCTCCTAGAACTAGAGTTAAGGATGGACTGCTGCCTGCCACCGTGTGCTGGAAACTGAACCCGAGTCTTCAGCCAAGAGCAGCCAGTGCTCTTAGCCACTGAGCCATCAATCCAGCCCCAAAACAAAAAATGTTGTAAAAAGGCCAGCAAGACGGCTTAGTAGGTAAAGGCATGTGCTGCCAAGTCTGATGACCTAAGCCCAATCCCCAGAACCCAGATGAAGAGAACCAACTACTGCAAGTTTCTCTGACCTCTACATGTATGGGGTGGTGCGTATGTGCACACACATGCAAGCACACAGAGTAAATAAATGTAAAAATAAAAAAGAAATGGGCTCCTCAATAATACTAAAAAAAAAAAAAAAATCACACACACACACACGTACCCAGAGGAAGTAAAATATAAAATGTAAAAATAAATAAATAAATAAGAAACTGGCTCCTCAATAAATACTAAGAAATCAAGATGGAGTCAAAAAGAACCCCCGCATTAAGAAAATGCATCTTTTTAGAAAACAGAACTCCAAACTGTTGGGAAAAGAGAGGGGTCTTTTCACAGCAGCACATTAAATGGAGCAGAGCCAAAGCTGCTTCTGAGACAATACTACTCTGACTTTGGAATTTAGCGTCCACACAAGGCATCATGACGTGCTTTCTGAAATCTGCACCTCCCAACACGAGGGCCCCTGTCGGTGCCGACAGCTCTGTGGTCTGGGACGCACCGTCTCGAGACATCCCCACGGACAGACACTTTTTGAAGCGACACTGCTGACAGCGGTTCCTGTTCATCCTCATGACGGAGCAGCTGTCATTCTTCAGGCACTTCTTGTACTGGATGTTCTGCTGGATGCTCCTCCGGAAGAAGCCCTGGAACAAGGGAGGTGTCCTCACTGAAAGCACTGGACGAAGCCCTCGGAAGAACGGCCCCCAGGTCTACCTGGAGCACGTGACGGGGTCCAGGACGGAGAAGAATGCTATAGGACACACAGACTCGAACTTACCGTTATCAATCCGCACGCAGACACAACACACACCATCCAAACAACACCCTTCTTCCTTCTGAAGATACTCTGTGCCTACCAAAGCACCACCTCACCATCACATGCAAGTTCCAAAAGGTTTTTTTTTTTTTGAGACAGAGTCTCATGTAGCTCAGGCTGGCTTTGAACCCCTGGTTCTCATTCCTCCACTTTCCAAGTGCTGGGATGACAGGTATGTGCCACCATAACTCTTCAACTATAAAAACTGAGTTTTGCCTGGTGTGGTGGCACACGCCTTTAATCCCCAAGCTCCAGAGGCAGAGGCAGGTGGATCTCTGTGAGTTCAAAGCCAGCCTGGTCTACATAGTGAGTTCCAAGACAACTGGAGCTACAGGAAGACCCTGTCTCAAAAAGACCAAAATAAATAAATAAATAAATAAAAATAAAAAATACAAGGTATTAAACAGACATTTGTATTTATCAAGAATACATAATGCATCTCACACATTCAGATTGTAGTTTACTTTCTACCTGTAAAGTGAAACTGATACCTAACTTACAAATACTTGACATTCTTGCAAAAATAACAGAAGTGTATAATTCTTAAAACAGAAAAGGGCTACATCTATAGAAAACACTAGCTAGTCATTGAAAAACCCCAGTCAATTCACCCAGACCCAGAAAGACTTCCTTTCATCAAGTATACTCATCTTGTTTACCCCACCACATCCTGCCAAACTGGATTTGGACCCTCGCCTGAAATCAGAAACAGCAAAAGCACGTTTCTCCCCATGTTGACCCTGGTAACAGGAGAAAGGACCGCGTCGTTTAGAGACTCCTGGTTATAAAGAGGGGATACTGCCCCACTGGGAGCACCCAACACTCAGCTGACAGGGTCAAACACTCCACCCCCAGCAGCCCATCTGTACTCCAGGTCACTTACCCACTTGGCACTGAGTTTCTTATTTATTTTGCTGCTCTGTTTGAGACAAGGTGTAGGTGTTGCTATGTAGCCCAGGCTGGAATTCTACGGACCTCATGCCTCAAGCATTATTTCTTAGTACATGACATTTCTCCAACTACTCAGCAGTTATTCCCAATCCACAGTGCCTGACAGGGAAGATCTGCTATGGTCTAAGTATGTTCCCCAAAGATCATGCTCTAGTGCCATGGTGGGGATGGTGGACTTTGCCTCCCTGAATGAGCTGTTATGGTCAAAGCGGGCTTGTCCCAGAAGTGGGCCGGCCCCTTCCTGCACTCTGGCTCCTGCTGTTCTCATGCGAGCCCTTTCAATGCCGTCCACCATGAACAGAAAGGCCCTCTCCAGACGCAGGCCCTAGTCTCCAAAACCGAGCCAGATTTATAAAATAAACTACCTCACCTGTGGTATCCCGTCAGCACAAACAACAGACCAAAACAAGACCTAACTCATAGCTTGGTATAGACTGAGCTCCAGCCAGGCATGGTGGCCCATACCTGAAATCCCAGCAGAAGGCTCAGGAGTTCAAGGTCATCCTCCACTACACTACATTTCAAGTTCCAGGCCAACCCTAGGATACATGATACCCTGTCTCAAAAAAAACATAAATATAGTAAAAAACTGTGACACATTTGCTTGGTTCCTATCTTTTTCCAGACCAAGGCCTGGGCCTGACCTAGTAGTGGATGAACACTTGCTGAACTGGGTATCTCATATCCTAGAGTTTGCTGAACTGAGGTAGCTCATATCTTAGTTTGCTGAATTGGACTGCAATTTCATTTTTATTAAAATACTTTTGCTGAATAAAGAGTGCTTTTTTTTGGTCTTTTTGAGACAGGGTCTCCTTATAACCCCAGCTGGCCTTGAACTCCCAGAGATCCGCCTGCCTCTGCCTCCCAAGTGCTGAGACTAAAGGCATGTGCCACCAAGCCTGGCTATAAAGAGTACTTTTCAAAATAAGTTGTCCTTATACACTTCATAATATCCTTATTCACAAACCTAACCCAAAATTCTTTAGTGCCAGAGTTAGTAGATGAGTAGTTTAAGAAACAAAAGCTTGCTTTACCTTACCTTACAGCCTTCACAAGCATGAACGCCATAGTGGAATCCTGATGCCACATCCCCACAGACTTTACACAGCAGAACCATGCCACTAAATTCTAGGGCACAAACAGACAGGAGTGAAAAGATAAGACAATCACTCCAGGGCTTTTCTGTGCAACTGCGTAATCTCAGCCACTATGTAAGCACTGTAAAACAATACACATGCACCTCTGTAATATAAATGAAAAAAATCTCTACACCAAATTAACAAGTAAAGGAAAACCAGTCCTCCCCCCACCCCCTCTGTACTGGGGACTGAACTTGGGCCCTGGCCTAGAGTAGCCAAAAGCTGAACTACATCCCCAGCAGTGCTTACAAAGCTGGTTTTCCTTTCTGATGATTTTAAGCAGTCACTGAAACTTTGTAAACATATAGTTACTTTACAACAGACAAGCAAGGAGAACTAAGAAAACAATTCTGCTGGACAAAAAAAATGAGAAGTCAGAAAGAAATCAATCCATAGAAAATGTAAAAGAGGGCTGTGGGGTGCCTTCTCTGTGGCAGGATGACTGACTGCCTCACTTATGTGTGGACTGCTGGGCTCGATACACACGCACACACACATGGAGATGTTTCCATAGGCAGCTATGGTCCTTCAACTCACCTGCAGGAGCAAAGCAGACCCTGCCCTTCTCCACCTCCCTACCAGCCTGCTCTGCCCACGCTCACTCAGGTGCGCACCTCCCTGGTCAGAGAGCTCCTGCTTTGTTTGCTAATCCCAAACATTCCCAACTCCAACTCCCAGCTCCGTGAGCATAAACCCTTCCCACAGACAACAACCACTGTTCCTGAAACAACTCTGCCAGGTGTCCAGCGGAACGGGCCCTGTGAACATGTGGGAAGGGAGCACCCTCGAAGAAGCACAGTCAGGCCACGGAGACCCACACGGCAGCCCTTTGCCAGAACTCCTAAAAGAAGTGCTGTGTCCTGTCTAGTCACTGACCATGATTACCCAAAAAAGAGCAGGAGGCAGAGGAGCTCCCCAATGACCCTGTGCAAGAAGCCCCAATGCAATGAGAAGGTGACCAAAACACTCCAGGACTTACTTGTCATCCCACTGTGACTCCTGGTCGTGCCAAGAGCACCAGGCTTGCCTGTTTTCACAGGACCCTCTATGCGATCACTCTTTAAGATGCCTTCGATGCTAGAGGGGTCACTGTTCTTGGGATTACCGTTGGTATCAGAATTAGAGCTATTTGGAGAAGATGGAACAGAAGAGGACGAAGACTGGAAACTATTCTCAGAACCCTCGCTGTGACAAGAGGCGGGGCTGGAGGCTGAGCTGGAGGAACTGATGTAGGCAATCACACCTCCTAGAAAGAGGGGTAGACAATTAGATACAAGAGACACACACTGCTTGGTTGCTACTAATTTGAACGTGCTACTTTACTCAATTGTGAGAATTGTCCCTAACTGCTGGGCATGGTGGCACACGCCTTTAATCCTAGCACTTGGGAGGCAGAGGCAGGTGAATTTCTGTGAGTTCCAGGACAGCTGGGGCTACAGGGGGACCCTGTCTCAAAAAGATGAAGATGAAGATGAAAATGAAGAGGAGGAGTAAGAATAAAAATGTCACTAACTTCAGAACAATTGATATTAAATTTCTACTTATACCCAAATTAAAGAGTAACTGAGTTTCTGGTTTTCTCCTATTATTCTCCCTCCTTCCAAAAGCTCAAAACTGTGCTGTACAGCTGATTTAATAATGAGAAGGCCTCTCTGGCTTGTTAGTTCTAAGAACACACAGACCCAAACCTAAGGCTCTGTTATCTAACTCCAGGGCCTTCCTAGCTGATGCTGAGTACACTGCTCTGGCCGTGCACACTGAACAGGTCCTCAGACGGCCCTGTTACTCCATCGCCTGCTTCCCCAGCTCTAGGCTAAGACAGGTTAACTGGGAACTGGGTCATTTGTAACTGCAGACAAGGCCACTTATCTTCACACAGGGAAGCTTACAGGTCCCATCTAGAACTGCAGACGAGGTCACTGTCTCCACACACAGAAGCTTTCACAACTGCTGCTCCCAAACCTTGCTGCTCTGTGGTCCCTGGAGATTGGGCCTACTGAACCCTAACCCACCCCTCCCTCCCTCCTGCGCCCACCTGCCACACACGTAACATGCTCAGCTCTGAGCAGCTCACAAGGCTCCAGACTCACTGTGTTCTTCCAAGGCGGTGTTTACAAGCCACATTAAAGAGGCTGGCAGAAGACGCACACAACGTAACAACAAGAAGCCCATCCCATCCACCCAGACTTCCCCGCAGACCTCCCCTCAGTCTTCTCAAACACAATCCCAAATTGATAGCAATAACCTCCACAATCCCTTGGAAAACAGGCCTGGGCCTCTTCAAGGCTGTAATCTACCCAGGTTGAGAAACAGTGTTTAAAACTGCTCCTGGGGTATAATTTTAAACTTCTTCCCACAAGGAGATAAAACACTGCAAGACACCTCAAGGCCAAATATATTATTTTCCCAAATACCAGACCAAACAAGCAATTCTCTTCTCTGCCAAGGTGGTTGAGAACTGTGGTTTCTCCTGCCTCCGTCATCTGCAAATATTTACTAGCTCCTCAACACGCCTCTCTCTTCCATCACTGTCCTGAAACTGTACTACACCTACGGCCCACCTGTTTTCTACTATTTCTCGACTAGTTATGAGTCCCCAGGAAGCACTGTAATTCTCAGTACACGCTTCAGAGGCTAAGCCTGCCACACACACTTCTAAGTCCACACCAAGTAACAGATTCCAAGCAACGCAAAACAAGAGTGGGAAGTCAGTGTCAGGTGCACAGGGCTCCAAACAAGTCTAGATGACAATGGAAGCAATCATACTGCTTCTGTCAAACTGCTAGGGGCTGAGGCTGGGAATCCACGGCAATGCACTTGCCTAGCACAGAGGAGGTCCTAGGTTCAACGCCCAGAACTAAGAAAGGGGGAACCCTCCTGAAGGGACGAACTCCCCAATTTTTCAAAAAGTAGAATCCATGTTTACCAGTTGAGGGCTGAGGAAGGACTGACTCATCAGGTAAAGTGCTTGTGATGCCCCAAGTGTGAGGACCAGAGTTCAGGTCCACAGAACCCGGGTAAAAGGCCAGGTGGGAGGGGCTGGAGAGAGAGCTAATGAGCTTGCCATTCTAGCCAAGATCATGAATTCCACTCCAGCACCCCACGTTGGGGGCTCACAACCACCTATAACTAAAGCGCCAAGGGACCCAGCATCCTCTTCTCCAGCAAGAAGCATTTCTCACCGCTGAGCCAGCTCTCCAGCCTCTGCACTTCACTTTCACCTGGGCTTATCAGGTTTACCTTGCAAGCCATCTTGCCAGCCTACACTTCATTTTTTATTTTTTTGGTCTTTTTGCAACAGGATCTCTCTGTAGCCCCAGCTGGCCTGGAACTCACTATGTAGACCACACCTGCCTCTGCATCCCGAGTGCTGGGACTAAAGGCATTAGCACCTTATTATTTTTATTTTATGTGTTTGAGTGTATTACCTATATGTATGTAAGTGTACCCATGTCATGCAATAGCCTCAGGATCTAGAGTTACAGACAGCTGTTAGCTGCCATGGAGAATCAAACCCAGATCTTCTGCAAGAGCAGCCAGGACTCTTAACAACCATCTCTTCAGGCCTCACTCTACTTCTTAAAAACAAAAATTTTTGTGTAAACCCAGCACTTGAGAGGTGGAGGCAGGAGGATGAGGCATTCCAGATCATCCTCAGCCACATGAGGACAGCGCCACAAGTGCCCATCTCAAACAAACCAACTTGGACTACATGTAATCATGCATATATATGCACACACATGAAAGTGGCAATAGCATCACTATGCCACCCATTAGGGCTGGAGGTGAGTCTGTCATCTTCAACATCCCACATGCTGTCCTGGAGTTCACCTGCCCAAAGGGAAGCTCATGCTTCACAGCCAGCATTTTTCTTGCAACCTGGTCCCTAGTCAATCATTCTCTAAGAGTGGTCCCTGCACCAGCAGCTGGCTGGAAATCTGGGAGAAATGCGTAATGTGGTGGTTTGAATGAAAATGTCTCCCATAGGCTCCCAGATGATAGCGATGTTTTGGGAGGTTTTAGAAGGTGTGGCCATGATGGAACAAGCACGTCACTGGGGTGGGCTTAGAGAGTTCTTAAGCTTTGCCAGATCTCCACTTGTTCTCTTGCTTCCTGTGCCTGTGTGATGATGTGAGAGCTTAGCTTCTGTTGCTCCTGCTCCAGCCACCTCCAGCCACCATGCCTCCCTGACAAGATGGACTGCAATTCCCCTGGAACGGTAAGTTCAAATAAATCCTTCTATAAGCTGCTTGGGTCAGTGTTTCTATCACAGCAACAGGAAAGTGACTAATACACGTAGTCTCAGGCTGGCCCTAGAAAGCCTGAGGCTGAACTATATAAGGGGCACTGTCAGCACTCCGTATGAAAGGCTCTGAAAGCACCCATGAGGTCTACGTGGAACAGCAGCTTTCCCACTTTGATCTGTTTTCATCTCCACGAGAAACTGAGCTCTACATGGACAAACCACCAGGATTCTTTTCAGGCCCTGCCCAATTGGAGGATGTCTCTCAGAAACGAGCACTAACAGGCCCTTTAAACACTTAAATTTTTAAATGATTACCATCAGTGAATTCAAACAAAATGGCAAGTTGGACATTGTGAGGCAGGTTTGTATTCCCAGAACTCAAGAGGCTGAGGAGGAGGATCCTGAGTTCAATACTAACCTGAGTTACACAGTAAGTCCCTGCCTCAACACAAAACAACAACAAAAAGAAAACAGGGCTGAGAGTGGTAGCACACGCCTTTAATCTCAGCACTCAGGAGGCAGATGAAGGTAGATCTCTGTGAGATCAAGGCCAGCCTGGTCTACATAGTGAGTTCCAGGCCAGCTGGGGTTACAGGGAGACCCTGCCTCAAAAATAAGCCTCAGTTGTAAAGAGTGCTGTTTCTCTGACACAGCTGCCTGGTTATCAGTAATACCATGTGAATCCAAGGAGAACCCACGTTAACCAGGAAGCCTATATATGTGATGTCTGGAGAAAAAAAACCACTGGGCTATCTCCTTATAAAGCTTAAGAAATCTGAAGTGCATATCAGAAATCCCAGGGGTTAGGAAACCCTAGTGGTTTGTAAGTATCTCCACTCAAAATAGGATACCAAGGAAAACACTATTGCTAGTTGGAGTAGCTCACAGCTTTTAGAAACAGTGCCTTACGTACTAAATGCACATCTACTATCTAAGGATAAAAATGAGGGGTTCTGGCCCGGCGTGGTGGCGCATGCCTTTAGTCCCAGCACTCTGGACTCTGAGGCAGGCGGATCTCTGTGAGTTCAAGGCCAGCCTGGTCTACATAGTGAGTTCCAGGACAGCTGGGGCTACAGGGAGACCCTGCCTCAAAAAGACACAAAAAAATTTAAATTTAAAAAAAATTAGGGGTTCCTTGAAGAAGACATTCCTAGGGCTGACACTGGAAGCCGGTCATTTATTTTCAACAAACATTTAGCCTATAATCCCAGGACTTGGGAAGCTGGGGAAGGAGGATTCACAAGTTCAAGGCCAGCCTGGACTTAGTAAAACATGGAAGAAAATTATTTCAGAGAAAAAAAGTGCTAGGGAAACAATTCGGTGGCTAAGAATGCTTCCCACACAAGTTCCGAGTTCAGATCCCAAGTACTTGTGTTTTGTCAGGCATGGGTGTCCACATCTGTTACCCCAAACTTGGGGGGGGGGCGGTTGAGACAGGAAGATCACTAGGGGCTTGCTGACCAGTCAGGCTAGTGAGTGGAGCAGTATGGGGGGAAGGGGGGCAATCAGCTCTAGGTTTAGTGATGGACCCTGTCTCAAAAGAGTAAGGGAGACATCAATGGAAGATATCCAGCATCCACCTTTGACCTCCTCATGTGCGCTCTTATGCATACATGTACACAAGTTCACACCACACAGGCACGAACACACTCTTGCTCCCGCTCTCTCCAAACAAACAGAGACATCAGAGCTGACCCCAATGGCCCCAGAAGCACTGCTAGCCAAAAACAAGCTCGTCTACAGAAGTGCCAAGACAAACAAGAAAAACCACTGCCCCTGATGGTCAGCAAGCCAGAAGGGTTAGTTTTACTTCTAGGGCTGAAGAAAGGGAAGCAGGGTCCCACGTCTTCACGCCCAGCAGAAGCCAACCACAAACGAATGTCTCCCAACTTCCACGATCCCACGTTGCAAATGCGCAAGTGGGAGCTCAGAAAGGTTAAGTGAGGCAACAACGACCAAGCAGCAGAGGCAGCACCTGAAGTCAGGGCTGGAAGTCAAGGCTCCAACCCAGAGCACACACCATGGCTCTTACTGAGAAGACCTGAGCAGGCATGTCGTTCCTTTCCATCTCATAATCCTGAGTCATCACCTACCAGGCAGGAATATCTGCCCCAGTTCCTGCAAGGCTGAAATGAAACAGTGCTCACAAAAGGGATTATTAAAGGGTTTTTGCACATACAATCTGATTCTAGAGCAAGAAATGTAAAATCCGTGATCCAGCAAATCCCAACACTTCCAGAAACCAGAAGAAAGCACTTGGAGCCTTGAGCTAAAATTAGCTCAGGCAGAATCCTCTCTATTTTTAGCTGAGAAGGGAGTGGAGGTGGGCCAGGTTCCCAGTCCGGGTTTACCCAGTGGTCATCATCAGGCAAGCCGGAAGTCAACAGCCTCTCAGCACAGCTGGAAGCAGCGGCCCTGCAGACTGGGTTTGTGGTAAGTCAGGACTACACTTTCTAGCCCTGTGACTCAGAACCAAACCCATCTGGGGGGGCAAGGTTCAGGAGAACACCTTGGTCCTTGCCCTTAAAAGCCTTAGAGACCAAGTGGAGAATCATCAGCGATGGTGCACAGGAAGGACAGAAAGGGTAAGGATCACACATGAGCACGGAGCAGAGATCAAAAGGGACAAACACCAGTAAGGTCCTCAAAAACAAAGCAAGTCTTATGGAATGCATACACTGCTAAGTGGTGTTATTACGTACGACTGTTTTCAAATAGGATAACAAAAAATAAAGGCCACATTTTTGTTTCCAAGTAGAACACTGGAGAAGAGAAGTAAAGGTATAATGCAGTGTCTGGAAAGGTACCAGCTTCACCAGCAATAGTGAATGCAGTGCTAACATGCAGAGCTCTGTAGAGGGACTTGCCCTTCTCTGCTGAGACCTATTCCTCAGCAAACCCAGCAGATCCATACATGATCTTCGACCTCGTCAATATAGACCCCTATGCGTTCACCATTTTGTAGGCTGACATCTAGGCACAGTAGTGGACTTTGCATTCCTGAACTTGGTTTTGGATTCACTTTCTAGTTCCACCACTTGCCTGGGCAAGTAATGTAACTTCAACTTAGCCCTTCATCTTTAGGATGGTGACAACAGCATCTTCTTTCATGAATCAATGTGAGGGACACGTGACCTCACACATGGGAACTGCTAAACAGACACCGTGACTGTTACTCTGCCATCCTCATTCTGGAAATGTTCTACCAGAATAGCTAAGAAAAACACCACTCCTCCCCCCACCCCTCTACCCTACCCCGCCACCC